ATAAAATATGTGTGTAGTGTCATTTTATTGGATAATTTTCACATGTAAACACCAAACTAACAATATTCTCAGCTGTCTCATAAAAAATTTTATTTTATTTTTTGCTATTCCTATAATTCAGTAGTTCTCAAATTTTGCTGGGCATCAGAGGCACCTGGAGACTTATTGAAACCCAGATTTTTGGGCACCACCCCACAGTCTCTGATTCAGTAGGTATGGGGGATACCTGCACATTTCCTTTTCTAACAAGTTTGCACGTGATGCCAATGCTCCTGGTCCAGGAACCACACTTCAAGGGTCACTAACCTATAAGACTCTCCTGGGATCTGTCCTGGGATATCCTGATCACTTCTCAGCACTCACTGTTTACTGCACACAAGAATTAGAGCAGAAAGCATTAAAAGTGGCTGTGGTGAGCACGCTGGGATGTGCGTGACCCTCTGGAATGGGGCCAACGGGGGCTCTAGCAGGCAGAACGGAGAAGAATGACGGTTCTCACAGGCTCAGACCACAAGTTACTGCACAATTTTCCCATGTGCAGAGGGTGGAAAGAACTATCTTTCTCCGATTAGTCTCCACAGCAGCACGTGCCCTCATGATTCAGCACACGCTCTAACACAGAGTGGTTGCGTCATCGTTGAGTATGAAAGATGGCGTTATAAGGCCACTACACCCAGAAAACAATTTTTTATTTATAGTCGTTTCCTGGTGGTAGTCAGCCAAGTAAAATTCCAGGTATTAAGTGAGCTGATGCATCCGGTCAAATATTTATATCCATTTCATTGTTACTGTGGAGTCAATACTGGTGTGATTTGCCTTATAAAGTGAGTGTACAAAACTATTATACAAGAATCCAAAATTGGTGACAAAAAAAGGATTTAAGGGGCGCCTGGGTGGCTCAGTCGTTAAACGTCTGCCTTCCGCTCTGGTCATGATCCCAGGGTCCTGGGATCGAGTCCCACATCGGGCTCCCTGCTCCTCGGGAAGCCTGCTTCTCCTTCTCCCACTCCCCCTGCTTGTGTTCCCTCTCTCGCTGTCTCTCACTCTCTGTCAAATAAATAAATAAAATCTTTAAAAAAAAAAAAGGATTAAAAAAATTACCACAGAGTTCCTCTCTACAAATGTTATAAAATTACTATATCTTTGATTTACAAAACTGCTTGCTTATACATATATTGGGCAGAGAAAATACATCATTTACAGATTTGATTATACAAAATACAAATGTAATGTATGTATATAAAACATATAATAGAATTTATTCTTAAGAATGATGAGATATATGAGATATAATCATACTTCCAAGAATTTAATCTGCTAGATAAATTGTAATTCTTGTAAAGGTTTAAATATTTATATTTTGAGCAAACATTTTAATGCTGATGCATAATCAATGCACTCAGAATCAAGGAAATGCATGGGGTTGATCAGTATATTTGATCCATGTTGCTAATGTGCTTGAAATATTTGTGCAAAGAAATTTTGCCATTTCTGGAAATGGAGTAAAAAAATGTTATTAGCTATTAACTATTAACTTTCATTAAGCATGCAACTGTCCATAAAAATATATAGTGTTTTTTATATGTTCACTTAAACTTTACATAAAGGACATTATAGTAGTATGTATCATTCTTCAGCTCCTTTTTGTCCCTCAACAATTTGTTTTAACTGTTGTATATTATTCTTTTATCTACAACTAAGTTTACCTATTCCCCTACAATGGACATTTAGATTGTTTCCAATTTTTCAGTGCTAGAATTCTTCAGTGATTGTTCTTGTGATTTATTTCCTTGAGCACTTATGGTATATAATCTAGAAGTGAAATTGAATGGTATATAAATGGCATGCAGCCTTATTAGATATTGCCAAATTGTTCTTTGAAGTAGTTGTACCACATGATATTGCCTGTAGTATTGTATGAAGGTTTTTGTTTCACATTTTTCCCAATACCCGACTGTGAAAGTTTTAAATTTTGTCTAGCCTGAGAAGTGTGAAATTTCATTGCTTTAATATTTATTGGTATAGATAATAATACTGGTACAGATAGAGACTGTGCTTATTTTCTTATTTTTATTAGTTAATGGATTTTCCTTTTCTATGAACTGTACAATTATATACTATGCCAATTTTTCTACTGTGTTGTCTCTTTTTTAAAAATTCTTTTTAGGGGCGCCTGGGTGGCTCAGTCAGTTAAGCGTCTGCCTCCGGCTCAGGGCGTGATCCCGGGGTCTTGGGATCGAGTCCCACATTGGGCCCCCTGTTCACTGGGGAGTCTGCTTCTCCCTCTCCCTCTGCCCCTGTCTGTGCTCTCTCTCTCTGTCAAATAAATAAATAAAATCTTTAAAAAAATATATTTATTTATTTTGAGAGAGTGGGCGTGCGCGCCCATGTGCCAGTTCAGGGGAGGAGCAGAGGGAGAGGGACAGAATTCCAAGCAGACACCCCTCTGAGCACAGAGCCCAAGGCAGGGCTTGACCCCATGGCCCCTGAGACTATGCATGACCTGGCCGAAATCAAGAGTAGGGCGCCTAACCAACTGAGCCACCCAGGCACCCCTGTCTTTTTTTTTTTTTTAATTGATTATAGGTCTCTATGTAATCCGAATACTATGCCTATTCTTGGTTATATACTTTGCAAATATTTTCTCCAGGTCTGTGGCTTGTATTTTAATTTTATTTCACAATAATCTTGCTGTTGTAGAAGTTTTTAATTGTGGTATAAGAAATATTATCAATCTTTTCCCTTAAGGTTTTTATGTCTTTTTCTTTTTCTCTTATCTAAGAAACCTTCCCTAGTCTAGTAGCCTCAGAAAGTTTTTGAAGTTTGCATTAGGTCATTAATCTACACAGAACTATGTTGTATGTTGTAAGTAGTATCAATTTTTTCCGTATGGATTACTCATGGTACTAATATTGGTTTTTGAATAATCTGTACTTTCATCTCTAATTTGTGTGTTTGGGTCTGTTTGAGTTTTTTTTTTTTTTTTTTTCATTATTCTGTTGACTTATTTCTGTAGTCATAGAAAACATGCATTTCTATTTTTCTGTGAATTCATTACATAGCCCCTTGGAATATTTCCCTGCCTTCCATAGTTTCCGTCCGATAAACAGTAGTCTGTGGACATCAGTTTGGTCCCTGATATTGAATCGGTGAGGTGGTCATTAGTACAGTCTACCACATATGATTCCAGCTCTCTGCTTTCTGGGAAACGGTACGACTGCATTTCCTACTGTCTTTGCATTTAGGCACAAATATAGAACTTATCTGCAATAGTTTCATTCTTGTATAGAAGCTTTAACTAGAAACTCCAGGAACCAGCCTGTGATTGGCCACATGTTTTAGTCCTGCCTCAGCGATCGTGGAAGCGTGGAGACGGAAATGCCCTGATGGAGCTAGCGATAGACCTAGAGCAGAGCCCCAGGCGAACTTCCGGACATGCAGCTGAGGGAAAAACAAGTCTTCGTTGTCTTAAACCATGGAGGTTTTTAGCACTGTTCATTACTCTAATATAACCTGGCTTCTCCTAACTGATAGAGTTAAGATTGTGTAATTTCCAACCTGATGATTGGCAAAATGGTAAATAAGCACCTTGCCTTTGCTAGGAGGTAATGATTATGTTTTAGTGTCTCTCTTTTCACTTCCTTTCCCCCTCTTCCTTCCGATTGTATCACCCTCAGTGCACTCATACTCCCCAATATCCATGACCTGTCAGACCAATTGGAGCCATTTTGGTATGGCCTGTAAGTCCTCCCTCAGCCTGCAGCTCCTCACACAGCCTGTATATCTTCCCTCAAGCCTACATTTCCTCTCTTTGAGTGTCTACATTTTTAAAGATGATACCTGAAAAGATAAAATCTGTACCTAAGATTTTGTTGTACCTAAAATCTTAAATGATAAAGATTAACTTTGTGACTCTAGAGTGAGGGGCCATCAGTGAAAAGCAGGTTTTCTCAACTTCCTCTTATTATAACATTAGTGTCTACTGACTTGATATACATCTTAGGCTGGCTCCAGCGTTAAAATCCATAATTCTTGGGGTGCCTGGGTGGCTTAGTTGGTTAAGCATCCAACTCTTGATTTCAGCTCAGGTCACAATCTCAGGGTCCTGGCATCGAGCCCCGCATCGGGCTCCCTGCTCAGCAGGGAGTCTGCTTCTCCGTCTCCCTCTGTCTGCTGCTTCCCCTGCTTGTGCTCTCTCTCTCTGTCAAATAAATAAATAAAATCTGAAAAATAAAATAAAATCCATAATTCTTTGTCGGGGTTGATCACATTCACAAATGTGTGTGTTCAGTATCTGACTTATATTTCTGGAATGTTCGGGATAGGAGGGTAAAGATAAGAAGTGGGGGTGGCACTAGGAAGATACTTCCCAGGTGGAAGCATCTTTTTCACATCATCTCTCCACCAAGGACAATTTCCTTTATATTTGATAAGTTCCTCCGAAACATGCAAAATCATCTCATATTATGGTGGCATTGGGCAGTAATGGATGGAGCTGGGGGGGTGGTGGTGAGGAATTAATGCCCAGAGAACTACATTTTTAATTGTTCATACTTTAATATGGAGTATATAAATCCATTGATTGGAATGTTTGCCTCCTCACACCTAGAAGGTGTTACGTGAGGCGGTGAAAGTTTGATGGTGATGATGAGTAATTATAGAGCATGGAACACAGCAGGCTAATGTGGTGGGCCTACCCTGGAGGCTTTGAATTTGACAGAAGGAGGACACATTACCTCTCAGAATGCAGATGTGAGAAGGAATGTGGTAGCAGGCATCAGCCAAATTCCTATTCTGTAATTTTTAAAAGGCTCCTGGTGAGGGTTACAGACATCCAGAAAAATCATCTCAAGTATCGAAAGGTACATTTATACCTGTAATAGTTTCACTGAAGAATAGCAAACATTTCTGATGTTCAAACGCTTTCTTGCCAAACTTCCTGCTCCTTAAAAAAATGACTGTTGATTGGTTAATTAAAGTTTACATCTGTCTCTTTTTAGGTGGTTCTTTGGAGCAATCAAGAGAACAGATGCAGAAAAACAACTATTATATTCAGAAAATCAGACTGGTGCCTTTCTAATCAGAGAAAGTGAAAGCCAGAAAGGAGATTTCGCCCTTTCAGGTATGGACATTGTTTTGTATGATTTAAGTGTGGGTTTGAGAGTCTGTAGGAATGAACCTGCTGTGTGAACATGGACAAGTTAATCTGAAATTTGCCTTATTTCTTATTTTCATAAGTACCAAATTAAATCTGAACTACCCAAGAGTAATATAGAAATTAGCAAGCAGTTTCTATCTATGGATAGGAGTCTCTGTAAACAAATACATGCGCTCTGGATATGAAATGACAATCATATAGATCTGGCCGCATTTTCTCACTTTTGTCTTATCTAAGGGACTATCCTTCTAGGGAAATGATAAGCAAAAAGTGAAAACTACATTGTTGTCAAAATTGATCTTTCCCCAATATAGTTTGAGTTTTTGCATTTCATTTGTCTTTGCCCAGTAAATAGAAAATGAATTGAAATGCTGGATGCAATTGCATTTGGTTAACTCCATGATGTGTAAAATTTAGCCAAATGTAGTTCGTTTTCTAACTAAGAGTCAAATACATGTTTACTTTACATTGTCTTAGGAAGGAAGAAACACCTGAGAATTGTCTTTGATAGTTACAGGTGCTTACATGCATGTCTCTGCCTTCAAGAATCTGTTTCTCGGGGCGCCTGGGTGGCTCAGTCGGTTAAGCATCCAACTCTTGGTTTTGGCTCAGGTCACAATGTCAGGGTCATGATATGGAGCCCCCACCAACCTGGGTCAGGCTCCACACTCAGCAGGGAGTCTGCTTGAGATTCTCTCTCTCTCCCTCTGCCCTTCCTCCTGCTCATGCTCTCTCTCTCTCTAAAATAAATAAAGGAATCTTTAAAGAATCTGTTTCTTGGTGTATGTTGCAAGGTACAGAACGTCCTTTCTTCAAGACCATCCAGACCATCTGTCATGTGAGACTTTCTCTCCTTACTCTGCTCTGACCTCTGTTTTGTCTAGGCGCATTGTGTGCTATTATCCCCTTTAAAGCGTGCACTCTGTCTAGATATAAACCTTGGGGGAAGGGATTTTGCCTTCCTTTATCCCTGTTGCCCTGCAGTAAATGTTTATTAAACACGATGCCCAGGCACCTTATTTTGTCTGCCTGGCTCAGTGAGCTGAAGTCAGAACAGCCTCCAAGGTGCACCGGGGAAGGAGGCCCTGAGCTCACATGTCCTAGGAACTTTGATTGAACCTGAACTTCGGCCAGACTGTGTGTGTTGGGGACCCATTTGTCTTACTTACACTAGGCAGTCCAAATATCGGGGCAGATGGATGGGAGCTGGAAAGGATTAAGGGCAGAGGTGTTGAAGCACCTTCTTTCAGAGGCTCCATCCTTCAGCCCCTGACTCATCCTGCACCAAGTTAATATGGTGTTCTCAAATTGTTTGGCTTCAATCCACCCCTCCTTAGAGGATGCTGTTCTGATTACCATTTTTGAAATGTGCTCCAGTATGATGTGGCACTGACCTTTCTAATCTTGCTTATACCTAAGGTGATAATAAAATACAATGACTGATACAGGATGGGCATTCGCCAATTAGAATTGATGCCCCATCAGCCTGTGACTTCATACCAGGGCACACCTGTACACACCCAGGTGACATACATGAATATTTTATTAGATCTAATAACTTTTTTCTGATCATGACATTGTTATATAAATAGAGAAGCTCAAAGAAGAATAAAAATTATCACCTTCTGAAGATGTATTTTTAATATCGAAATACCTTTCCTGGCAAGCTTTTTTTCTGTGCTTCACCTGTAAGTATATTTATTTAAACAAACACACACTCATATTCAGAAAATAAATGGAGATCATCTTGTAAGGAAAAAAAGTAAATATAGATATGTGTATATATGCATATCTATATTTATATATACACACACACATATTTGTGTGTGCACACACACACAGTGGATCTAGGCTGCATTTTTCTTATTCTGTCTCTCAGTGTCCTGTGAACAATTTTGCATGTCCTTTCATATTCTTCTACATCATTATTTTTAGAAACCACATAACCTTCCATTGTATGGGTAATTCATCATTTAATCTATTTCATGTTTTATGTATTTTCATTATTTTTAGCTATCTTGCTGCTAATAAAGTATGATGCAGTGAATATCCTTATAGATAAATATTTGAAGATTTCCATGAGAATATTATACTCAGAGGAATAAAAACGAGTCTTTTGGGAAATCTCTATGCTTAATGATAAGAGATAGAAGAGAATTCCTAATTTAAATGCATCCATGTTTGTTTATTTGGCTTTCCCAATACTTATATGCAAAATTAAGTAATCATTATTTAGCTAAGAGCTAGATTATATGTTTTAGATTAGCATTAAACATAGAGAAGAAGATTTCCATGAGGAAAACAAACTAAAAGTAGAATTGCTTGAGTTATCTGTTTGAATAATGCCCAGGCTGCAGTGACTGTTCTGAACACTTTCTAAGTAGAATATTATGGAACAAAACAGCTTTACAGGCTTAGAACAAAATTATAAGGATATTGGTTTTTATGTGCTGAGAATACTCTAGCGCTTGCTTATAGATTTAGGAAGCTTTGTAGGCCTTGCTTGGAAACCAGCATATCATTATATATTCTTTTTGAAGGAAGTCAAATGATTTAGAGTCTTTCAAACAAATTATCTGATTGCTGTGTATTCACTGGGGGACAAAGTAAATGCGACCATTATATTCTACTGAAAGGAAAATTTTCTTATTAGCCAGAAGGAGGGTGATCCAAGAGAAAAATGGAAGGAAAAAGGTCTTCAGTATGCCCACATTAAAACAAACAAATACACCAACAAACAGCCCAACTGCTGACTGTTGATTACCATTGAGGTTCTTCAGATATACCATGGATTTATTTCTTAGCGCAGTTGTCCCCTTAATCAGTCTGAATTGATGGTCTTCCATTTTGCTGACTTGTGTGCTGCCAAAGGAAGGCAAATAATACCCCTTTTCTATCCCTGTCTTTCCCACATGCGTTTTCCTTAGAAGTATTGTTTTTATTCCTTGGGTGGCATTGGCTTGCAGCTGTCAGAAGAGCTTCATGATGGAGCATGATTTATTGATGCTGGGGCGGGCTGGAGAAGCAGCAGCCCAAGGTTGGGGTGGGTGCTAATTGGCCTGTTGTGATCCTTGTTGTGTCGGCTCTTCTGAGGTCTGAGTAGATCTGGAAAGAGAGTTAGAGCCATGACACTTCTCATAATGGCAAGACATTAATTAGCTGTGAATTACAGCAGCACTTTTGGATACTACATATTATATGTGGTAGCCAGAGAATCTGTCTTCTTTGATGCCTGACAGGTAGTTTTAGTAGCCCTACTGTTATTTGTCACTGGTAGTGAATTGTTTTTCTGATAAAAAATATAAAATTTCGATTGCATGTCAACTTGTTTGGCTATTTTTTGACTTCAATCAAGTCCTTTAAAGAGTCATTATTGTTATTACCGTTAATACAAAGTTGATGTTTGAGTTCTATACACATTTATATTATTGTTTAAAATACACTTTAAAGAAAATACACTTTGAGGGCTAAAACTGAGCTGCAGGTAGGTTTTTCAGAAGAGATTCTGCATTGCACATTGTAATTTTACTTTAGGCAACTCTGCATACAAAAGCCTCCAGAGTAGTAGAGGGAATTCCAGATTAGTCCTCAGTGAAACCCTTTCAAGAGCAAGCGGTAACAGATTGAAGATAGTTGAAAAATGACGACATTGAGGACACGAGGCAAACAAGCTCCTCAGCAGTATTCAAGGAGATGCATTCAGGAGTTGACATCATTTATTTATACGTTTGCTTATTTCTTCAACAAACATTCGGGTGCCTACCATGGGCCAGGCCTTTGCTAGGTGAAGCGCAGTGAAGACAGCAGGGCACAGTCCCTGGACCCAGCCAGTCTTTAGGAAGATTATAAGCTTTCTAGTGAGAGGCGGAGGGGGCAGGGACCCAGTCTCTAAGGAGGAGGGCAAAGAGGTTTCACAGAGGAGGAAGCATTTGTGTTCTGGCCAATTTCTGTTGCCAGGTAGCAGTGTGGGAAGGCAAGTGCACAGGGTTGTATGTCTGTGGGGTGTGTGTGTGTATGTATGTGTGTGTGTGTGTGTGCATGTGTAGTGGGGATGGAGTTGAGGAGAGGAGAGAAGGAATAGTAGAAAATGAGCCTGGAAAGGAAAGTTGGAGCTACACCGTTTAGGGCCTTGTATACCATGTGAGGAATTTGGACCTTGTTCTACAGGGGGAAGTTTTAGGCAGAAAGTGACCTTGTCTGACCTTCGAGAGCATGTGGAGAAGGGACGAGGTTTACAGGTAATTGTCTGCGGAGGAGTGACAGGCAAACACAGTGGCATCACTTGTCACTGTTTGAAATCGCAGGTGCAAGGTGGCAGAGTTCATCAGCATTCCGCACAGAGGGGCAATGGGACCCAAGCTCAGCTGGTCCCACTGAGGCTCCGCTCAGGCACAGGGCAGCCCCAGAAGCCACAAGGCCCTTCTGTTGCTCAGCTTTTCTTATGGGGCAAGTGTGGGAATTGCCCGAGGACTCGCAACAGCAGCTTTGTCTTGGTGCTGAGCAGTCTGGGCTTGGATATCAACTATTTGCCAGGTTGTTTGGAAATCTCACCACGTATGGGCTTTGGGCATGGTGGAAACTGCAGCTCCTTTTTCACCCAAGGAAACCATGGGATCTCTTGGAAGTGGAGTTTAGGTGCCGCCCCTCCTCCTGATAGAGGGTGACAGTGAAACAGGCCCAGTGGGTCCTTGCCACACAATCAAGAATGAACTCCTAGGGTTCTTCACTAGAGAGTCCTGCTTATCTCCACAGATGACAGCCTGAACCAGGGCAGATGTATGGCAAGAGAGAGTAGGAAAGGGAGGTGAGAAATAATTAGAAGATGGAACTGACAGGAGTTGGTGGCTGATCAGAAATGGGGTACTATTGGGACGCAGAATCGAGGATGACTCTCGAATCTCTGACTTGAGTGAGGGGGGGATAGTGTCAAGATGAGAAATATAGGAGGAGATGGCTTAAGTGGG